GTGTACATAAAGTTAAAAGATTAAAGCTAATAAATCAAATTTCATTTCATTCAATTTTATATGTGTGCATGAGCTAACTTGTAAAGCCCTTTGGTTTAGCTAACTTCAGGTTGGCACACAACAGAGCTAACTTACAATAGCTAGCAATCCCAACTTGGCAAAAGTGTTCCTAGCCAGGTAAAGAGCATAAACAGTGAGGAATTACTGTGATGACGAGTTTATATGTGGCATATCATCACAGGTCAGTTGCCTTACAAGCGTGAATAGAAGTGTCTTCAGGACATGTAGGGCCGTGATCTCCCAATACTGTGTGTATGAATCTGAAAGGGAACTCAATTCACCTTTACACTGGCAGCTGATGCAAAATGTGTGCACTGTGAGACCTACAGTAATGTAAAGGACAGATGGAAGTTGTGAATAAAAAAAAAAGCAAATAAATAGCTCAGAATGCAGTATGCAAGCAGCCTTTAATAACTCACATCATTCTGAATTATTGATCTAAGTGTTTGGGTAGCAACATAGCAGCCACAAGTAAAACACATGGTTTAATATACTTAAGTATTTTCCTGCTTGGAGGTGATTTAAAAGACAAACCTGCAGAGAAAGGCAGTGTTGAGTTAATGAGCTTATAGTTAAACTGTTGGTTTGCATGTTAAAGCCAGCAAAACTCTTTCAGTCTGTCACTTTGGATTATAGGAAGGTGTTTTCCATACAATAGATATTACGTACAAAGCAACACGCAGCTCAGAACTAATCCCGTTCCCATGTTTCTTTCCCTTTCCTGCACAGTGTGTTCCGACACTTAATCCAGGTGGATCCGGACACCTTCTGGTTTACTCTAAATGAGCTGCACTGCCCGTCCTCTTACATCCCACACCACCCCGACCTCCTGCCGGTGCAGCTGAACGGCACGGGCAGGCCGAGAGACGAGTTCTCGGACAACGTGTTCAAACTGCTCAAGGAGGAGTTTGGCTCCGTTACTGAAACAGTTAACCAGCCAGTCAGCTAATGAGCTGCTGGTTGATGAAATTGACTCTTCTCACAAACGGACAACTTATTGAACCACGACTCCAACAGGTCAATTAGCTGAAAGAAAGTCTGTCAGCTGTGCCAAATAGCTGATCACCTAGCTCTGTGGAATTAAGAGCTACTCTGTAATTTACAAAATGTTACTTAGTCATCACCTTGATTCTGCTAGCCCACAATTAGTACTTACTGTACATTAACATTAGGTGAAAATGGAGCGCTACTGAGTTATGTTTGATTAAAAAGAGAAAACAAAAACTAAAGTATCTGATATTTTTGTCTCTTTCCTTATTTTCCCGAGGAGGGAATCTCAGCAGATGAATTCACACACATTTTTACATCATATGATTTGATTTGATATACCTTTATTAGTCCCACAAGGGGAAATTTCATAAGGCTGAGGACCTATTGCACGCAATGGCGGTGCCATCTTACCCTCCGACCATACATACATTACACAAAACACCACATGGGGATGACAGGTCAGAGAGGTATAACAATGGAAAATGCACCACATGAGGAAAGATAAGGAGAAAAAAATAACTCCCCCCAGGCTGAGCTCCAACAGGGAGATCAGTTTGAGACCAGAAAAAAAACACCTTTGCACATAGCACTTGAAAAAACTCTTAATACACCAAATAAACACATGACAAACAACAGGGGTGGGTAAAGGGTGAGAGACAGCCGATTTAGACAGTACATCTGGGCCTGCAGCCTGTGCGCTGGTCTCCTTGATCCACCGTCAGCATCGGA